AGGCGCCGAGCCTAAACAGATTATTCTTAAAACATTTTGGGTTTTAAAAAACCAGTATGATAGTATACATACCAAACTGTCAGTGGTAAGAAGAGAGGTGGAGAGGAAAATCTTAGAATTGTGTCTGTGTGTCTCTGGGTGCATGCACTCACAGTCGCTTATATAATTTTAAAAAAAATTAAGAGAAAAATTATGTGATCTAGTGGCTAGCGTACCTCTAAATTAAGACACCTCAATATGTATTATGACTGGGAATTAGAAAATAGTGCTAGCCTTTTTGGCTCAATTTAAAGCCTTAAAATGTTTACACTTTTGACCTCTTAATTCCTCCTCTTAGAATCTACCCTAAGGAAATAGAAAGAAATATAGAAAAAAATTGTGCAAGTAATGAAGTAGTTAAAGTAGGTAACAGAAAATAAGGGATTAAGAGAAAAGGAGTAATTAGGTAAATAACAATGCATCCTCATTGTGACATATTGGGCAGTTTAAGATTATTTATGAGAATTTCATAATTAGACACATGGCCTATTACTATTTAAAAGACCTAGATGCAAAATTATGGTCACGAATTATTTTTTTTACAATGCATACTCAAAAAAAAAAAATATATTACCAGCCAGGAACAGTGACTCATGCCTATAATCTTAGCACACTGGGAAGCTGAGTCAGGTGGATTGCCTGAGCTCACAAGTTTCAGACCAGCCTAAGCCAGAGTGAGACCTGGTCTCTAAAAATAGATGAGTGCTGTGGTGGGTGCCTGTAGTCCCAGCTACTGAGGAGGCTGAGACAAGAGGATCACTTGAGCCTAGGAGTTTGAGGCTGCTGTGAGCTGTGATGCCATGGCAGTCTACCAAGGGTCACAAGGTAAGATTCTGTCTAAAAAAAAAAAAAAATTACTAAATATTAGCAAGCAAAAATTACAAACGGCTAATATGAGAAAAGATCAACATCATCAATTTTGTCAATGAAAGTGTGATACTCTTTTACACATAAAAGTTGGCAGAAGGGCGGCACCTGTGACTCAAGGAGTAGGGTGCCGGCCCCATATGCTGGAGGTGGCGGGTTCAGACCCAGCCCCAGCCAAAAACTGCAACAAAAAAAAAGTCGACAGAAATATACACCCAGCCTTCCATATCCACAGGTGTCACGACTGCAAGTTCAGAGAAATGCAGATGGAAATTGCTTGAAAAAAAATTTTAAATAAAAATACAACAATAAAAAAGAATACAAATAAGAAACAGTACAGTATAGTAACAATTTACATAGCATTTATATTTTATTTGGTATTATAAGTAATCCAGAGATGATTTAAAGTATGTGGGAAGAAGTGTGCAGGGTGTATGTAAATACTGTGCCATTTTATATAAGGCATTTTATATAAGGATAACCTTGGTCATCCACACACAGGGACCCTGGAGCCAATACCTCGAAGGTACCAAGGGATGACTGTATACTGAGGGTGTGTGTCTAGATATATACACACAGACACACCCATACATATATTCCTTAAGTATTAAGAGTATATATAATTCCCAGTCATTGAGGATACAGAAAAATAGACCCTCTCTCTGTTGGTGAGAGTATGAAAACTTTCATTCTTTTCTGGAAATATTAAGTCTTTTACTCAGAAATTTAACTTTAGAAACTGACTTAAAGAAATAGTAATGGTGTCATCAAAGTTTTATGTATCCAGAGATTGACTGTGGCATCAATACCAAGTGATTGGCTAAAGAAATTATGGTCATTTATGTAAGAGAAAATTATGCAGCTATTAAATTCTATATGAAATGTTAAGTGACA